TACAAAATGTAAGTAAGCCGTGCCACTGCAAGTCTCTATCCGCTCTAAATTCCATTTAGCAATTCCATCCCTCTAACTGTAATGGGGAGGGGGCAGGTAATCAACAAAGAGGAGTTGGCTTCAAGAACTGAGGGAAAATCTGAAGGAGGCAGTCGTTTGCAGCCACGAGGCCCTTTGAGGGGAGGGGGAAAGGAAAGGGGATACAGAAATGAGCTCCCACCTGGGCAAAGATTTACATGATTACCGGAAAAGGAGAAGTCTTTATAATCTCTCCCGAGTCCACCGAGATGTGAGAGAAGGGCCCTGCTCTGTAGGCCCAGCCCAAGCACGGATCGTGAAAGCATCTGGACTCCTGCCCCTGCTCTATAGGGTCCCTGTCCTAATGCACGCATTCCTCCCTGAAACACGGTCGGTAACCGGGCGCGGGGACTTGTGGCCGCGGGGCTGTCCTGGGGCAGAGGAGCGCAGAATCTCGGCTGGGGCGCGCACGCTGGGAGATCCCGCGCGGAGCCCTAGCGCGGCCGCGGACCTTGGGAACCTCCGCTCAAACCGCGGGCTGCAATGTGTGTGTGAATCGTTAGAAGGCGGGAGGACCGCCACATCTAGGGCCTCTGCAGTAAAGAATCGAGTCTGGCGGCCAGATATAGGGGCGGGTGGGGGCGGGAATCCATCAGCTCCACAAAGTAACAAAGCCCTTTTATCGTAAATCAAGTTCAACCTCGCGCTGTGGAAGGTCCTCTTCTTTTGGTGGAGCTCCCGCGGAGGCGACCCGCTGTCCTGGACCGGATAGTAGCGGAAGCGAGGAGACTCTCACCCGGGAGGAGGACCGGGGTGAGAGCGCGGTGGAGATCCGGCCTTTCGCTCCACCCTCCCGGCTGGGCAGCCGCCTTGGGAACGCTTTTCTCGGGCTTCCGTCCGCCGAGGCGGCGGTTCGCGGAGCAGTCTGGACAGCGCGAGCGAAGGAAGTAAAAAGTGCCATTTAGAGCTATTCCACTGGCGACCTCGCTGCGGCCGCGGCGCAAGGGCTTCGAAGCAACAGACCTGAGGCCCCACTCCTCCCCAATCGGCTTCCACTAAGAACTTATTAAATAGGGACGGTTTAGAGTTGATCTGTCACTGAGCACTACTTACCCCGAGATCTTTGGGTTTTTGAATTACTTTATTGATCTGAAGATTTTCTTCTTTGGAATGTGACCCTGTTTGGACTTAGAGCTAATCAGGAAACGCTGCCAGGAGGGCTCTTTGTAATCACCTCGCGGACCTCCCCCGCTGGTGCCGTCGACCCTTCCCCGGCGCGCCCCTTGCGGTCGCCTAGGCTTTGCAGGGAACCCATCAGCCCCCGGCTCTCCGCTCCACCGCGCGCCCTGGGAGCTGTCTGTGGTGCTAGGAGAGAGAACTCAGGAAAGGGAGGCCCGGGGGAAGAGACCAGGAGACAGAGAGGAAAGAAACTGAGAATGCAGTTTCTTGTTGGCCAAGACGGTCCGCCCCGTAACATTCGGACTGATAGAGACCTTCAAATTTCAGCCGGAAGGAGGGGAGGAACAAAGTCCCTTCTGGGTCACCGCACCGCCCTGAGGCAGCTGACCTGCTTTTCCAATGCAAGGGCCAGTGACACCTCCCTTTCTCTGAAAGCGCACACCCTCAACTCTACACACGAACCCCCCACTCGGCCCTGGGGGTGTTCAGCCTGCCAGAAGTAAGAAGGAAGGGGCACTGGGCCCTGGCCATGCTCCAGGGAAACAATCAAGTGGTAGAGAGGAAGGCTGGAACTAGCCAAGAAAGTAGGACAAGACAAAGACCTAGTGGGAAACTCAAGGAGCCCAGAAGCACTTTCCAGGGTCCATGAGGTAAACCCTGGGAAAGCCCCTACTTATCCCTCTGCCCGCACCTCTCTAGCCAACAGCCAAGGCAACAGCCAGCTTTCCCTCCCTAAGGATTCCGAGCTACTGAGGAAACATCAATCCCCTTGGAGGCTCCACCCTGCCCTTGCCCATTCCCACCAGCGGAGAAAAGTCAATCTCTTTCCAAGCCTGTTGACTTCAAGCCGTGCCTGGCTCTTTAGAAAACTAAGCAGCTCTCTTCCAGTGTATTTTTGTAACCACATGGCTTAACAGGAACTAAAGTTTCCCTAGCCCTGGGGAGAGCTTTTCCAAATATTTTTAGAAAGTTAAAAAATGTAACAAAACAAACTACTCACAAGCTGCAGTTTAAAGCGGGGAGGTGGGATTCAGCAGACTCCTGGGGAAGGGCTGCCTAGGTAGGAGTCAGAAGGCAGGGAGAAAGGAGGAGGGAAGTCTTGGTTTGAGGGTAAGTGGGTTTTATTTGCAACAGAGGAAATCCGCTGTCTAATTTGCCATGTGTGGGCTTTCATTTTAAGGGGTGGAGCAAAAATAAACTGATACAAGGTGTAGGTATATTTGCTGGAGGCTAGAGACAGGCTGCAATCGTTACTTTACAACTCACTGAAAATTGCTGGCTTGGACTAAACTGGCTGGCTGCTGGCCCGGGAGATAACTTTTTACTTCACCTGACTACAGATTTCTGCTAGGTTTGCTGTGGTCCCAGAGCGGATATTGGAGTGGGCAAATCTAAGGGGGTCATTGTGGGTGTGTAAACATCTCTCTGAAACAAGTTCTTTTTCCTGGGTTTCTGGAGGAAGCAAAGATTGCCACTGCAATTCCCTGATTTACCAGTCCCCACCTTAATCAAAGCGCAATCCAAATAAAATCCAACCGTGGAGTGCCCTTCAGACACCAAGTGAAGCTAAGGAAAAAGAAAAGGAGCACAGCTCCCAGGGACAGCTGTCCTCTGGGTTTCCATAACTGACTCCAGATCTCCCATGAGAAAAGACCTTTGCCTGTTATCTTTGTTCCTGCTTTTCAGAAAACCTAGGGTTGCACTCCTCATTTCTTAGCCAATCCCCATCTTTGTTGGACAAGCACAGAGGAACAGAGGACCCCTTTTGAGGAAAAGGATGGGTTTGCATTTGACTTTTAAGCCATAGTTTGGGGACATTTAGATAGAAGGGCACCTGATTAAGTGCCCTTGGCAGTGCTGCAGCAGAAAGAAAAGAATGAAAAGAAGAAATCCAGCACTCAGTTTTCTTCCTGAAACAACACCCATCCCTAATATCCAGTTTGCCAACTTTTATGCGACAGGAAATAACTAAAACAAATTTAGAGGGGAACTGACACTTTTAGCTCCCCAGTTTAGGGGATTGAAGAAAACATGACTCTGATGAAAAGCAAATTTAGGAGGACTCTGGGGGATCCAGAGTAATGGCTAACAGCAGTGGAATATAAGGCTAATTAAGAAAACTTGGTCTGTATAGACATAGCGCTTCCCCCTGCATTGTCCACCTATGGAGTCCAAGTTCAGCCTTGAGAGCGAAGGGGCAACAGGCAGGCTCCTCCGCAGAGTGGCTGGTGAACTGCGGGCTGACTGCTGGTAGCAGATGGGTGCTGTGGCATTGCTTGTATTTGTAAGTTTGTTTATGTGTTTTTCCCAACTGGACCTGAGGTCATTCTTCATAGGGAATGTGTGATGTGTGAACTCCAGTGACTTCCAGGTCCCTCTTGTGCCCGAAGCTGACTGGCCCCGGGGCCAGTGCAGACAAAAGCTGTAGTACACCCCCCCCCCAGACGTGGAGAGTGCCCTTTTAGGCCCAGGCAGACTATTTTTGAGGCATTTAAACTTGACTATAAAACCCACCAGCAGCTAAGATGGAACAAGGAGAGTCTGCTAGAGTGCCCAGGCACTGGGCATTCCCCACTGGACACAGTGGTGCCCAGTTTCCAGCCCAACCCAGCTATCTTGAGTGTGCCCCCAGCTCAGCAGGAAGAAAATGAGAAGGGCCAGTCCAGACCCTTTTGTTAGAATCAAACAAGACCAAGACCACTTTTGAAGCAAATTGATGAGCTAGATAGAAATCTGCAAACCACTCCCTAATTAGCCAAAGACTGATCAAGGCGCCTGAGGCAATTTCCTCCTGGATTTCACCCCTTTCTTCCCTTCTTCCTTCCCACCCCTCCCCAATCCACACTCCCATAGCACTCCACTTTTTAAAAAATGTTTTTAACTCTACTAAGGTTCAACATCAGAGAAAGTTGGAGGATGGGTCTGGATGTGTTCTGGCTGTGTGTCCCTTTGACACGGGACCAGGGCAGGAGTGAAGCTAGAGATATGAGAATACCCACCTGGGGGATCTAACTCTGGCTCTCAGGAAATGCCCTTGGGGCTGCAGAAGGTGGGAGCAGCCCTAGAACTGAACCCCTGTTTTGTTGTTCCCTTAGTCTTGAGTGCTGAGCCTGGGGGGAGCCAGTCTGGTGGGGTGCACCTGCAGCCCTCGCAGAGATGCTACAAGTATTTACACATCCGTTCACACACGCTCCCAGAGACCTCCATCCTCTGGGCAGGGCCCCTCATTTTGTGGTCCCAACCCATCCATGGGTGCGGATAAAAAGCTTGGCAAGCCTGTCGTGGTCAGACTTGGATTCCTGCTCCAAGGCATCCCGGCACAACAAACTCACTAGGACAAGAGGCTCGGCGCGCGGCGCGGAGGTGGGGGCTGGATGCCCGCTGGGGAACGAGAACGCAAGGATCAAAGCCGCAACGAGGGTTTGTTAGCCGGGCCTCTCGAGTCCCCCGGGCGTCCTAATTGCGCGCCCTGCAGCCGCCCGCTCGCAGGCTGTCCCGCCGCGTGGGCGCCGGGCTGCGGGCTGCAGAACAGCTGCGAGGCCCGAGGAGCGTCCACCCGCCCGCTGCCCAGCGCTGGGGACCCTCATTGCCCCGGGAAGAGCCTAGGAGAAGGAGGAGGAGGGGCCGACAGACCGCGGCTGCCCGGCAGTCTGGGAGCGGGGGAAGTTGGCCGCCCCACTCAGCCAGCACCAGCGGCCTACAAGCGGAGACTTTTCCTCCTCCGCCTCCCGGGCTGCTCTGAAATCATCCTCTTAAAAAGAAAGGAATTCACACATCAAATAACGGCTCGGAAGAGACCAGCGTGAAAACTGGAGCTGCTTTTATATAACTCAACCCAAAGTCGTTACAGATTTTGTAAATTCCTAATACGATGGGAGGGATTTTTTCCCCCTAAACCAAGTCAGGCATTTCATCATAGTACGTTCTGCTTTAGTAAAATCAGCTCCCTTGAATTTCATCGCTTGTTAAAAAAAGATAAACTTTATTTTTGTAATTTTCAATCACAAAAAAATCTATATTTTTGTCTAAGCATTTATTTTACTGAATCAAAAAGACATGAAAAGAAAAATCATGTTTTACTAACGTATATAAGTGACTCTTTTTTGGACAACATATAATAAATATGATATATCACTTATCACTCAGTCTTTCAAATGTACATTTTTTTTTCATATTATGGAGCATGCCACTTTTCCAAAAGAAAAAAGGTCATGAGAAATCAGTGCAAAGTTCTCAGTTACCCTCCTCTTTTCTCTGGGGCAGATGGAACGTCCACAGCAACGCCCTGTGCCTCGGAATCTGAGGCTGGCTGTCCATCTACAATTCTCTCTGCCCCTACGGCTTCCTCTCCGTGCCCTTCCTTCTTCCCTCCTTTCCCCTCCCCCCTCCCTCCCTCCTGCTTGTCCGTAAAGTCATTTTTAAAAAGAACTTGAGGTTTTGTTTTTGTTGATGTTTTCACTTACTGGTCGCACTTTCTGTGGGGGCAGCATTTTCGCCAGTCACACTGCTGTGGGGAGCTTTCCAGCCCTGTTTCTGGGGGTGGGGAGATGGAGAGTGGAGGGCTGGCTCCTCTTTGGGGCCCCCCCCTCCCATTGGTGTGCGGCTTCTTCTCTCACTTCCCTGCTTCCCGGGGTCGCTATCGAGAGAGGCCTCGCGGCCTTGAGCGGGGAGAGGAGGGGCAGCTGTCCGGTCGGGGAGGGGATGGGGAAGGGACCGCGGCGCTGTCAGTCGCTCGTTCTTCACCGGGGGTGCGGGGTGCCTGGGATGGGGTTGGACAAGGGATTGAGGGCCGGCTGTCCCCCAGGCCCCAGGCCGTGGATGAGCACGCGGGGCACCAGGGGCCGCTGCAGCTGGGGGTGGGGCGCGGGAGGAGTCCGGTACATGCTGCTGTACATGGCTGCGGCGGCCGCGGCGGCCGTGGTGCTGTCCATGCTGCCCAGCAGGCTTGGGTGGTAGAAATAAGGCGACGGAAACATCCTCTGCAGGGCCGAGTAGTTTCCCGCCTCGGCCAGCAGCTCCAGGCCCACCGCGGTCTGCCGCTTCCACTTGGTCCTGAAAAAAAGCAGGCGTGCAGGCACCCCGCCGCTGTGGGCTCCGTCCAGGCACCAAGGCCCCTTCTCTCATCCTCTCCTGCCTTCTCTTTCTCGGGGGACAGGAAAACCGAGAGCTCTGAGAACCAGGAATGAACCGCACCTCCTAGCCCCCTCCCCCACGATCTTGCTCACAGAGTAACCCAAATTCAAGTCAACTTTGTAAATTACACCCTTAATATCTGAGACACTCAGAAATGAAATTCTACCAGCTTTGCTGCCTTTACCTGACCCTCTACTCTGCTGTTGCCCCCTTTATAATTAGGCTACTTCCTGAAACTTTCCTGAAGGCCAACTGGGACCACTCTTTCTATAGGCGGGTCTTCTCCTCCTCCTCTAATTTCTTTCCCCAAGTGCCCCCCCCCAACAATCCCAGAGTGTCCACTCTCTGCCCCTCCCCCCTTCCTCCAGGCCTAGTGAGTAGAAACCATAAACAAAGGGACACAGAGACTCCTGAGCCCCTCTCAGTCCCCCAGCGCTGTGGAGATACATCTCTCTCCCCATTCTGATAGGACCTTACAGCGGGTGGGGCGGGAGGCTTGGGGCAAGGGAGGCAGCAAGGTTTCAAAATGGAATTGGTTTGAGGGAGGACTCTCCCAAGGTGACAGTACCTTGGGGCCATTTCAGGAGGGGAAAAATGCATTTCAAGATATTCTCTCCTCTGGGAGAGAGTAACAATTAAAACCTGTGATCAGCTCTTCTCAGTCTCTTCCCTCCCCCACCATACCCCGCTAGGAAGAAGAGGCGATCAGGCCTTTGCTCAAATGCCCCACGAAAGAACTCAGGGCTGCTGGGCCATCCGTACCCGGCAGCTTCAGCCAAATTAATAAACATGTCGCCCATTTTAAATTGGCTACAAATGACACTAATGTTTTCCGACAGAATTAGGGTGGCTGAAACCGTATGTAATGAGACAGAAAATTATGGTAAAGATGACAACTGGATGGGCATTTCCAACCACACTTATGGACGATTAGAAGACAAATGAGAGAAGAGGAGAAGACCAAAAAAAAAAAAAAAATCGAGACAAGGGAGACAACTGCCAGGCTTGGAAACACAGCATAACTTCAGCCTCAGATTGCCTGGGCTCGCACTACACTTCAAGGGCCCGCAAGCCCTTTCCTGATTTCCTTTCAACAGAGGCAGTGATTCCTGGCAGGCTCTGAGGTGACAAATACAGGGGACAGACCCTCGGTCTGGATGCCTGGCCGGCTGCCTCATAAGCCGAGGCAAGGACATTTAAGCTGAGACCAGTGGGGCAGTTCCTTCCGGACCGAAATAGCCAGGCTGTGTGGCCAGCTGTAGACATTCGGAACCAGCCTGGGGCAGGCCCAAAGGGTGCACAGCACGGGCTCTACAGGCCTGAGTGTCAGCTGCACAGATGTCTCAATTTGAGAAGGTGTGGCTTGATCGATTTGGGGGGGGGGGTGGATTCCAGCCACTGGGGTTTGAGAGGGAAAGCAGCATACGTTAAGACACTCAGCAATGCAAAATGCTCCAAACTCCAGCTGCCTATCGGTCCCTCTCACCTTGGGGATGTGGCTAATCCCTGTTCCAGCCTGGAAGCCCACCCCCCCCCAACCCCCAGGGCCCACTCTGGGGCCTCTATCTGAGTTCCTGGGGTCTCCCAGGGCCAGGAGGGGAGAAGATTGGCACGATGGTCATGACCTAGATGGCCAGATGCCTTTGCTCCCTGCCACAGCCTCCCTTACCTGCGGTTCTGGTACCAGGTCTTGACTTGGGTGTCTGTGAGGTTGAGTGCAGCTGCCAGGTCCATGCGGTCCTGCACACTCAGGTACTTCTGCCGCTCAAAGCTACGCTCCAGTTGATTGAGTTGATGGTCAGAGAAAGCTGTCCTGGCTTTTCGAGGCTTTTTGGCTCTCACAGGGGGACTCTCCCGGCTACTTGTAATCTCCCGGTCTCCTTCCTCCTTTGTTCCTATGGTAGAAACCCACAGCCGTAAGGTACTGTGGAATAGGAAAGGGGAAATGCCCTCCTGGCACACACTTCCACATCCCCAACTCAGCTGCTAGTCTCAGGGGACTATACTCTGCCACCCTCATCACACACATACTTGGACCCTAGCCAGTATGAAGAAAGAAGACCAAGGCCAAGGAGTTTGGAACTTTGTGCGGCGCTCCAAAAAGGGTTCTAAAAGGTTGTCTGATCTTCCCATCTTTGGAAGTTAAAAAGAAAAAACAATATTTTACAATATAGTAGGGTCCTTTCGTTATTGTTTCCTTCACTGGGGGGGGGGGGCGCTGTCCCATTCCTTAACCGTTTTCACTATGACCTTATTTTTGCCTGATTTGGAAGTTTTCAAAAGATCTTTCCACTCTGTTTTGTTTTGTTTTGAGGAAGGGACACCTTTTTCATTTCACTTTTTCTGTTTATTGAAAGTTACAGGCACTTGTTTTCCTTTTTCAGATGCACTTGGCAAATGTTGGAATCAAGTTCTCTGCAGTTGCTTGCATTGAGTCTTGTAAAGCTTCAGAGAGAATATGTCACCCAGACACCAAGCAGAGCTCAAAATCACTGAGCCCATCCAGGTGACAGCCCAGAGATTTCCGGATTCTATTTGTCAACTTTGGTTTTTTACTGAAATGCTGGGAAATCGATATGTCAGCCCCTCTCTGTTTGTACCCGTTTTTGCTGCGCTCCTTGATCTTCCCTGCAGGAAGAACAATAATCTCTCTAATTGACCCACTGGGGAGGTTGGTGCACAAAAAATCGCCAGACCAGACTGTACATCTGTTTTGGGCACTATTATGCTAATGTGATAATAGTAAACCGAGGAGCCAGTATCCTACCTTCCAGATAGTCAGCACACATCTTTCCCAGAGATGGCAAAGGTTAATAATAATAATAATAAACTTATTAGTAAGGGAAAAAAATAACTCTCCTGGCACATTAAAACTCTTTTGTCATGCAAAGACCAGAACACTTCCTTATAAAATTGTATGAGTAGAAAATGGAAAAAGGGAGTTGAAGGACTGTTTCAATTGCCATCTTCTGATTTTACAAAAATAAATAAATCCAAATTCCATCCAATTTTATTTTCATAAGCGCCATTTCCCAATCACTTGCAGGGAGACGAAAATCTTACTAAAATACAAAGACTCAGTTGGGGCCATGGAGTCAGAAGGGTATTTTAAAAACTGAAAAACTATAAATTTTTACCATATCGGCTTCCCTATATCAATCACAATCTAATTTTAAAAAGTTGCTTTGTTACTCAACTGGGAAAATTTTCCCTCATTAAATCTGATGATTGCTGTGACGGTGTTTAGAAAATATGGTGTGCTGGGAGGGGGGAAAGAACGAAATAATTTACATTAAAGAATAAACTCTTTCTGCACACACCCCTAAACACCACGCTAGCTAAGCGCGTTCCTCTCTCCCACCTCCCCCCATTCCCACCCCCAAGGTCTCAGCTAGAAAAATCTCAAGTACTTCCCTTTTATCAACGAAAGTATGCCCGTCAGATCCCCTCCGCCTCCGCCCTATTCTTAATACATTGAAATTAAGTAAAACAAAGAAAGGAGTGGGACTGCGGGGAGATTGAGAAGTGGCAATGTAACAATAAACCGAACTTCGGACGAGTCCTCCCGTCGCGCGCCCAGGCCTCCCTCCCGCTAGCAGTTTTTGACCCGGGCGCGATCGCCCCAGAAGCTCCCGGAGTAACCCCGCATCGGAGACTCGCGGGGGTCCGAAGGGGAGACCGAGAACCAGAGGACCAGAAGCTACACGGCTCAGCCAGCCAGCCGAGGCGGCGCGACTCACCGTGGCATTTGATGTCGCTCTGGGAATCTTCCCGCTTGTCGAGTTTGGTTTTGCTGTCCTCCTGCTCCAGCTTTGGCCTGAAGCTCTCGTGCGCCGCATTGCTCTCCTGCTTCGGGGTGTGGTGGGGAGAGGAGACGCTGGTGCTGTAGGGCGCACACGCCGCCAGAGGTTTGCTGTCGCCCAAGATGTCCTTGATTAAAAAAGAAGAGGTGGAAGTCCTGGGGGCCGAGGCGGCCGGGCCCAGCTGCTGGGCCGGTGGCTGCTGCTGCGGCGGCGGCGGCGGCTGCTGTTGGGGTGAAGGCTGCAAACTTTGCGTGGGGGCCGCGGCTGGCGGCGGCGGCTGCTGGCTGTGGTGGAGGTGGTGGTGATGCTGGGGCCCTTCTGCTACCAGATGCGGCTCCGGGGGCTCCATGGTGACGGAGATGGGAGAAGAAGGCGCCGTCCCTACAGTATCAATCTCCGAACAGGGGGACGGAGTGGCCTGACTCCTAAAATCCGCGGTCCTGGCCTCGCCGAGCGGGCGGAAATCTCCATTCATCATGCCGGGGCTGCCCGAACTGGCACTGGACAAAATCGTGTCTATTCCAAAACTCGACCCGCTGGCCCCTTCCATTGTTGTCATTTCTACATGAGGTCCGCGCCACTTCGCCGCTCAGCAGCCGCCGCGACCGAGCAAAGGAAGCTATCGATCGTAAAACAAAATAAACACTAAACAATGTTGTCGCCGCTTTGAAAAAACAAAAAAGTGGGGCGGAGGAGGGAAGGAAGGATAATCGGGAGGTGGCAATCGGTGAACACTTTGGACACTTTTTGTTTTCCTTATTCATAAAGTAAGGGTGAGGAGAAGGGGAGAAGGGAAGACAGGGGGAAAGTTACAAAAATTGTTGAGGAAGAACGGAGCCTGCGCTCCAGGGACCACCGCGCACGTGCGGGAGGCGGTGGCGGCGCGGGGACCCAGACGAAGACGCAGGCGGCAGGAGGTGACCCCGACGCCGCCGCCGCTGCCGCCGCCGCCTGGGTCTGCCCACAGCCTGGCACCAGGCGGCAGCGGCGGCGGCGGACCTGGCAGGTGCAGCGCCCTCGAAGCCCCGGCGGTCGCGCGCGCCCTCGGAGCTCCCGGGCAGCTCCCCGAGGTGGCTGCCGCGGGCGACTCGGCCTCTCTGGAGCCGAGTTTCTGAACTTTCTCAGAAAGTTGTGGAGAAGACACCGCCGCAGTGGTCGCGGCCACGCAGGACGCAGAGGAAGAGAAGGAAAAGAAGGAGAAGGAGCAGGCGCAGGCGGAGGCGGCGGCGGAGACGCGGCGCCGAGCGACTCCGGCCGCTGCCGGGCGCGTTCGCTTGTAATCCGGCTGCGAGCGGGCGGCGCCGACCCCCTCACGTGACGTCACGGCCACTGCCGCCGCTCTCCGCGCTGCGCGGGGCCCGCGCCCCCGCCACCGAGGCCGCGCGCCGGGCCCCGCGCTCCCATTGGCCGCGCCCGCGCGAGCAAGCGACGCCGACGTACTGGGAGCCAATGGACGCGCGACTCTCGAGCCCGTCAGCGAGCGCGGCTCGGGCCCCGCTGCTCTTTTGAGAACCTGCTCAACCCTTTGCCTGCAGCCCAAAGCCCAACACCTAGTCCTGCGGTGGTGCCGGTGTCCACAATCACGTGGGCGGGCAAAGGCAGAGAGGAGAGGAGAGCCGGGGTAGACTAGAGAGGGGAGCCAAGGGGGTAAAATTAGAAACAAACAAACAAAAAAAATTCCACCAAGAGAGTAGCAACGATGTGTCCGTTTTCTAACGAAGTCCGGGGAGGGAGGAGAGAAAGGACCGTGAGGGAAAAGGAACCCGGCTGGCTTACCTTTGGGCTCCAGCGCGTCCGCCCTCGCAGCATCCCCAGACACGCGCTTAAATAGTCCGAGGGCACTGAGAGCAGAGGAAGGGGATCCCTGAAGGAATCCACGGGAAAGTGTGTAACTCCAGCAGCCGGACCGCTGGGTGGGCCGGTGGACTCGGACCTCCGATTTGGCCCCCAAAGAGACCAGGAGCCCGGGCTGTGGCCCTGCTGGGCGGCCGGCCTCCGAGGGGGGTTGAACGCATCCACCCGGCACTCTCGGGAGGCGTGGGGTGGGGAAGGGGCCTGCTGCTCAAAACCGCGGACCCAAGTGTGGTCACCAGTCAGGGCCCGTGCTGCAAAAAAAATGCCTGGCCAGACACTTTCTCCTGAGCGGGGTAAATAATGCCCCGAGGCGTTCTCTAGCGGCGAGGGCGGCGATGGTTCACCGCAGTGTCAGTCTGGCGCGGGGCTCAGGAACCCAGGTGGCGGGTCCGCAGCGCGCACTCCGCCTCGCCACCAGCCAGTTCTCTCCTCTCTCACTCTCTCTCCCTCCCTCCTTCCGCCCCCCCACCTATCCGTCCGCTCATTTGGAAAGGAAACAGTCACTGCGGATCCACTTGGGACCTGGAGCGTGGCTTGACTGTGACGCCTCGTCGGAGGGTATCAACTTACATTATTTTCTCTAGGACGTCTCCAACCTGTCTCTTGTTGAATGTCAGAGTAATGGGAAGTGCCAGTGACAAGACGGCGTATTACTCCTGATTAAGTGCCGTGTCAACCTAATTAGCAGAGTAATTATAAGGTGCTAATGAATGATTCAAAGTTCTTTGAGTTACATTTTACTCCAAATTACCATTTTAAGAACCCTATGAATCTGAGTGGCTGGCATCGCTTCCGTGACTAGGTGCAGAATGATGGTAGGAAATGGCCTTTAAAGTCTCCAAGGGCCGGACCGAAATCTGGGGTTTAGTTGCAGTTCTGAAAGTCTTTTTCTGGGGGACAGATTTTTTCTGTTGAGGACGGGGATGGGGCGGGGTGGTGTCGGGGAGGCAAATGACCTCCTGGGACGAGATGCTGCCTTTCTGTCGGAACGGCATCGTGTGAGCCCTCAGTCAGGAAGGGAGTAGGTTGGAGACTCACCCTCCCTGCGTTTTCCTAGGGAATTCGCTGTGTTTGACCCAGAAAAAGCCCGCGCTATTTCAAGGCTGTGTTGAGCTGTTTCTTATCTTTATGCCGTTTTTTCTTTTTCTTTCTTTCTTTCGTCCTCCCCCCCCCCCCCCACGGGTCGGTCTCTGAGGAGAACAGCAGGGAGAGAAAAGACCAAGGCGAGGAGATGTACAGTCCTGGCAGCTCTCGCTTTTCTCCTAAGGCGAGGGGAGTTTGGCAGAGGAGTCGGGGTTGGTGAGCCGAGGCGGGGACGCGGGGCGAGCTGCGGGCCAAGGCCGTAGCGGGCCGGAGGCGGCGCGGAGAGACCCTGGAGAGCGCGCGGCGGGCCCGCGGGGTGGGGGTGAGCTCCTCAGCGCTGGGAGGCCGCAGAGGGCCTGGGTGATGCCCGGAGAGGGGTTGAATCCGCCGCCTTCAACGAGGCAACTGCTCACTGACCAGACGCTCCTGGGAGCCTGCCAGCCGCGCGTCGGCCTGCCAGCGGGACGGGTATTTCGGAACCACCGGCCCCGGACTTCCGCGGGCATCTAATCTCAGGGAAGCCCTTGGCGTCACATACATGCGGCCAGGAAGCCGAACACTCTAGTGGCCTCGGCATCCCGCACCGCTGGCTTGTGTGGGAAGCGCGTTGGGGCTGCCCAGACTACAGGTGTATGCTACACGTTATTCTCCCCTCAAATACCAACCAGGGATCTTCTCATTCTGACATCACCTACCACTTCCCAAATGAAGTGCGTTCGCCCCCAAACCCGGGGTTCCACCCGCACTTCCCTCTCTGACTCTTCTGGGGGGGAAGTGGGGAGGAGGAAAAAACAAATTTTGATCCAGAACTAACCGGCACTGCACAAATCAGGTATTCTCGACCTTGATAAATTATTCATTTAAGCCTGTTTTTGTTTTGCTCTGACGCCTAAAATGACTCAAGAGCTCTAAAGGCTTCTTGCACAGATTGTGTTGGGCAGTTTAACAGGATTTTTAGCTTGGAATAATTCACAACATTAGCAGGGAAGAGAGAGAGGTGGCCGCATGAAAATAAAAACGAAATCTGAAAAGAAAGGAAGAGAGGAAGGTGGAAGTTTTAGAACAAAAATAGCGTTCCTTTTGTGAAAACTCTAAAAAGCAAAGAAACCGGAAGCCCAGTAGGCCCCACCTTGTGCGTGTCTCAGATCATGTTTTCTTAAGAAAATGTTAAGACCATAGAAGACTTCTTTGGGTGAGATGTTAGGAGATCAGCTTTCAGGAACAACAATTGTGAGGGGAAAATATGACCTTGACTTTTATCAAGGCTCCTATCTTTGGGTCCCTACTAGAGAGGAAATGCTAGTGGTGGCCTGAATATCTATCTAAAAGAGACCCAAAGACCACATTGCAAACTTAATGAAAGCCAAATTCTTCAGAGCTGGACTTTTGTTTCTTAACTTTTCTTAGTTCTTTTTTCTCCACACACACTCCTCTTTTGCCATTTTTTTTTTCCTGAGAGCGTATACAATCTAAACACCCAGGAAATCATGTACCGTCTAGCAGAGTAAACATAATTAACTTTTCATTAAAAATAAAAATTCAGAAATAGAACAGGTGTAGACTAATAACATTTTCAATTCCCAAGTATAGGAAAGGAAATGCGTTAACTGGATTTAATCTCAGATTTTCCCACTGAATTTAAGACACAAATAAACATAGTCCCTAAAGCAACATAAGTTTGAAAATGTTCTTCCACTCCGGGCCTTCATGTCCTTAAAGAAAAAGACACGAGAAAGAAAGAAAATTATTTAATTTTTGGAAGATTTTGGAATTCTTACACACAAAACAGTTATTTGCCAAACGTGGATAATAGAGAACAAAGTTTTCCTTCTGCTTTAAAGGATATGTCAGTCCTGATTACCACTAAAGATGCTCCCTCCCTGCCAAAATCACGATTCAAACATTCATGTATTTAACAAGTTTTGTTCTTTAATATATATATATACTTTCTTCATTCATTTTGACAAGAGAGATTTGGGATTGTGTTTAAACTGGAGCATCGGTTTTTAAAGAAACTGAACTTTGAAGAAATGCATCTCTAGATTACGTTGAACTTGGAACTGGTGTTTCTTCTTATCATGTTTAATTCGAACGTTTCTAAAGGTCCACATGATGACAATGCCAATTTACAGGAAAGAAGTGCAGAGGCGCTTCCCTCCACAGGGCGGCGCCAAGAGGCCCCAGCCGAGAAAGCCCGCTATTGTTTCTTTCTATAAAAGATGCCAGATGCACATATAAGCTCTCCCTCTAGTAACGCTGACTCCCTGACCACATCCTGACCTCTCAACGTTTGAAAGCTAGAGGAGCATGGGAAGTTTTCTTTATTTTTCTTTTCAGTATATAAAGATATTTCCAACTGCTTAAGGACTTGATGCATATTTGCATAGAAACATAATGTAATAAAGAGAAAGACTTGAAAATACTGAAATTGAGTCCCTTAAATAGACAGAAACCAGGAGAGTGGTGACAGGAGCCACGAGAGACAAGTAAAGTAGATGAAAAAGAATAAGGTAACTGAAAACTGTTTTAACAGAATAATAAGTTAAAATGATAGCCTTTGCAAATACTAATCGTCCTAGAGGAATAAAAGTTTTGAGAGATAGTGCTGGTATCATAATAAAATCTGTGAGAGCTATAAGTTCATCACAGCTTTAAAGATTAGCAGAGACCTAGTGAAGCTGGCAGTCCTTTGGGGGTTAGATATGTGTTGTGCCAGAACAATCAGGAGGCAGGCCAGTGGAGATAGTAGAGAAAGAATGCTGGAAGAGAGAGTTTTAATCTCATTTTGCCACTTTCCAATGCTCTTGAGCAAGGCACTTAACCTTTCTGATGACCACTTTTCTTGTCCATTAAAGGGAAGAATAGTCCTTGCCTAGAATAGAGTGATTGTGATGACCAAATAAGACCTTCTATGTAAAATCTCCTTGCAAATTGTGAAGCAAGAGATTGACAAGTGGACAACGTGAAGGTGGCAGTTATTTCCAGCTACAGGTACCATACAGCAACCATATTTAATTCCCCTTCTTCCTTCCCTCACTCATTCTGTTCACTCACTCAGTCAATAAACACTGTGTGTGCATTCTCTGCCAGGTGCTTGAGAATGAGACACTGGCCCACCTCAGAGGGCTGCTGAGAGCTTGAACATGATGGAAATTGTCATAAATGCCATGACGCCTGCTATCATGAGGATACAAAAGAGAGACTGCGGAGTCCTGCCTTGGAAGGAGTTGGGGGAACAGAGAGGTTTCCTGAAGGAAATGAAGTGTATCTTTGGTCATGGAAAAAAAGCAGGTACATCCCAACTAGAGAGA